GTGGTTCCGGGGGTTCAGGGGGTTCAGGGAGATCCTTCTCGGTGGGGGTTCCTTGATCGGAGGAGGGGCGCAAGGACGATGAAGCTCTTCACCAGCGGTGATCCGACTGGCGATGGCTGGAAAAGAGAGGGCAAATCACAACAAGGTCCGCTCTCGTGAAACAAATAGAATAAACTGGCTGGCTATGCGAAGTCGTGACTTCCATCAGCGAGCCTCTATCGTGATCAGGTGGTACAGTTCATGGCCTCCTACACCCTCGACTCTCCGGCTGTTCTACACCCTCGGCTCTCAGGCTGTTCTACACCCTCGGCTCTCAGGCTGTTCCACTGCGCGCGGGCTTCGGGTCCTTTTCCGCTCTGCTCAGAGACCCCGCAGGTGCGAGTAGTCCTTGGCGTCCGTTGGCAGATAGCGGTCGGCGAGAACGTCGGCCACGCTCTTCGTCACAGGCGCCTTCGTCTCGTACCTCTCCCGCAGCGCCCTCTCGACAGGCGTCGACGTGCCCGTCTCGACGAGGTTCACGGCATCCGTCTTGATGGCCTTGGCGGCCTCCTCGGCCTTGTTGTCGGCGATGCCCACAACCTCCTTCACCTTGTCGACCAGTCGGCCGGCCTCCCTCTTGCCAGCCTCGAAGACATGCTCAGCCTTGTCCTTGGACTCGACAGCCTTGCGGTCCGCGACAGCCTTGAGCTCGGCAGCCCGCCTCTCGGCCGCGACGCGTGCCTGCTCAGCAGCGACCCTGGCCTCCTCGGCCCTCGCCTCACCGGCGGCGGCCGTCTTCTCGCGCGCACGCTCCCAGGCTCCCTTGGCCTCGCGCGCAATCTCCTGGCCCTCTCTCGCGAGCTCGCGGCCGCCGGCGGCAGCCCGACGCTTGGCCTCGTCCATCTGGGGCTCTGGGTCGCCAAAGACCGAGCGCCAGGCGCGCGAGGCGGCGTCCTCGAGGCCCACGCGGACGTCGTCCCAGTCGGTGCGCTGCAGGTAGTGGACGGCGCCCTCGACCTCTGCGTTCCAGCGGTCCTTGGCCGTGTCGACGAGGTTGGCACGCTTGGCGGCCTCGATCTCGTGGCGGGTCGGCGGCGGCGCGGGGACGACGGGCTCGAGGAACGAGTCGAGGACGCGGGCCTGGGAACGCAGGAGCTGCGACTGGTGCTCGCGCGTGCGCTGGTGCGTCTGTACGGCGAGGTAGGCGAGGCCCAGGGTCAGCGTGACGCCGCCCGTCTGTTTTTGTGTTCCTCCGTGGTTAGCGCCGCCAATGGTAGAAGATGGACGTTGCGTGGGAGATCTGGGGTTCAACCTACGAGGCCAGTGGGGACGCCCATGGTCGGTATTCGCCGCTGTGTTGGTTGTGTGTGTGTGTGGTGGGGACAAAAGCGTGGGTTCCGGGGGGGAGGGGGAAGGGGGGGGGGGGTCGAAAGAGCCAAAGGGGGGATTTTTTTTTCCCCTTTTGGGGGGGC